TCCATTAATTGCTATTGAAGAAATCTAATTTCACAGAGACAGACAGCAGAGCAGTCGTTCTGTTTACGGGTTACGTGTGTGCATATATTTATGTGTATATATAAAGGGACAGATTTTCCATGTGACCAGATTTCCAAGTAACACACTACAAATTAACTTTAGTGAGCTTATGGGAGACAAACAGAACCCCCTGTTAAAATGGTTCAACCCAAACAACCTACAGACAGGTCAATGCAAATACCCTCTTCCTGTCTAGACTTTTAACTTACCAGTGTTGTGAAATGGAGCGTTTCTTTAAAATCAGATTTAGATCAGTACATTTCTTGAGTGCCAGTTTCGATGACATCACCATTTCTGCCTATGTAAGTATGAGCTGTTCCATTCTAAATCTACCGTTTAGATAATCCTGTTCGCCTCATTTCCTAACGTTACAAACTGAGCAAATTCTGCAGTTGCACCTGAGGAATTTAATTATGCGCTAAATATGGTAAAAACATGCCATTGTAACACCCCAATGAGCATGACGCCAACAGTTAACATATCGACATTAAGGAACCTTTATAGTTGAGTCAAATGTATCAAGAGTCATTCATTTAGCAGTACCATTTAAAAGCTGTTGGCTTCAGTCCATAACACCTATTTGAAATCATCTGTCTGAGTATTCACAGACTGTTGCAGTGAGTACTCAGATTGTAGTTCTGGGATGAAGATCTGGTGGGTAGCAGATTTTTCAACATCAGCCTCACAGGCCTAGATCTTAATTGCGTATCATGGCTAATGAAGCAAAGACTAAAATACTGCTTGGTATGGCCAATTAGAGCCAATCATGTTGGTGTGGCCAATGACAACCTATGGTGTTCATTAATCTGACCAATGACATTCAATTTTGCTTAGTGGTGTGGCCAATGGCAGCCTGTGGTGTTCATTTATCCGACCAATGACATTCCATTATGCTTACTGGTGTGGCCAATGGCAGCCTGTGGTGTTCATTGATCCAACAAAGGACATTCCATTGTGCTTACTGGTGTGGCCAAGAATAGCCTGTGGTTTTTATTCATCTGACCAATGACATTCCATTGTGCTTATCAGTGTGGCAAATGGCACCATATCATGGTTACTTCTGTCACCAGCTTTTCATGTTAGCGGGTCAAATCAGGCCCTATATATAATGTTAAAGCCAAAGCAATGTTGTTTCAGTGTAGTTTTAGCTAATGACAGCCTTTTGTTTTTGTGGCCAATGAGAGACTACTGTATAATTTCTATGCCATGATGTACATCCGAGGTCACATGGCACTGAGTTACTGGCAGAAGAGTCTTTTATATGTGGATGTTTCTGTCCTCATATGTATCCACTTGTTTGAATGATAGGCCATTATTGGCCAATAAGGATTAGGTAGAGCATCTGGTTTGTGACAAATGCGCTGTGCTAATTCAACGCAAAGATCACTGCTATGGACAAGCTCATTGAGGCATTCAACAAATGAATGAATCGCCATGTGATCAGCTAAATGATTTACTTCATCACTGACCGGCTGGGGTGCTTTCATGGTTGTTGAGGGCAATGAAGGTAATGTGTTGGTTGATTTGCCTGTGGGCACTGGATGAGGAAAGGCGGAAAGAAGCAGCAGAGAGGGCAGAAGCGAGCAGGGAGGAGAGGAGAGTCCGGGGGGGGGGGGCGAGGGGTGGCGGGAGACGGGGGCTCACCGTTGTCACAGCGCCAGTTGACGTTGATGCAGCGTCCGTTGCTGCAGGTGAACTGAGTGAGAGGGAAGCAGGTGGGGTAGGCTGAACCGGCAAGGAAGGCGGGGGCGAAAGAGATCATGTTATGTGACAGCATCAGTGCACAGTAATTAACAGCACAAACCCAGTTTTACTTTGCACAAGAAAGACACAGGAATTGGCAACTGAATAGCTTCCATAGGCTTCTTCTTTAGGTGAATCCATTTTTCAAAAAAAATATTTATATTAAAAAATTGAGATAAAATCAGATGATAAAATATGATTGCTCAAACAATGGTTAAAAATCAGATTATGATGATAAAAATGCAGATTTCTTGCAGAATTCTTTACACTTCAATCATTGCATTTCAGCTTTGTTAATGGAACACTGGTTTTAGGGAAAGAGTCCAAAGGCTAGGTTAGGTTTGGTGTTATATTTGGTGTTGCAACCTCACTCCCCCAACAGTATGTCGAGGTACTTAGGTCAGAGTGGGCAGGGCATATAGATAGAGGGAGGGTCAGTGGCAAGGTGCTTAGGTCAGAGGGGGAGGGGCATACAGGTAGAGGGAGGGTCAATGGGGAGGGGCTTAGGTCAGGGGGGCATGTGGTTAGAGGGAGGGTCGCAGGGAGGGGCTTAGGTCTGAGGGGGAGGGGCATATGGTTAGAGGGAGGGTCGTGGGGGGCTTAGGTCAGAGGGGGAGGGACATGTGGTCAGAGGGATGGTCAGTGGGAAGGGGCTTAGGTCAGAGGGGGAGGGGCATATGGTTAGAGGGAAGGCACACCACAGGATGCAGGCTCATCAGAGCGGTCTCCACAGTCGTCGTCCAGGTCACAGGTCCAGGAGATGGGGATGCAGCGGCCACTGGCACAGGAGAACTGGTTCGGGGGGCACGTCCGTGCTGGGGGAGGGAACAGGGTAATTTAGGTCTACACTGACAAACCCACATTACCATATAATCACTAACTCCTTCACAGAATATGAGCCTCAGGCACTTGGCTCTGGATTTATAATCATTATTTGGATATGCCAGTATATTAGAGGCTTTTTACACTAATTCTGTGAAATATCGCCAAGAGGGCCTTGGATTTAAACTGATGATGAACCACAGCGACAGTTATCTATATCTTGTACTTGCCTCTTTAAGATCATCATTTTTTGTTAAATAACTCATTTAAATTGTGGAAGATCACTCATGCTGATTCTATTGGCTAAGTTAGGAATCCTGTAACTTTCTACGACCAATCTGCCTTTTCGTTCAGAAAGTTATTAAAATATCTTTGATATGGCATACTTCAAGTTCAACTATCAAAGGATGTAGCCTTTATCGAATAACACGGTATGATCTTGTAACCGACGGGAACGTGGCGCACCTGAGCAGGTGGTGTTGGACTCGTCCTCGTCGTTGCCGCAGTCGTTGTCGCCATCGCACAGCCAGCGCAGCGGAATGCAGCGGTTGTTTTGGCACTTGAATCGGTCCGTGGGGCAGGTGTGCTGATCTGGAGGAGGGAGAGGAGGGAGAGAGGAAGACATCAATTTTTTAGATGTGGTTTTAACTACTGAGGACATAAAAATGCCAGGAGTAAGGCATTTATTGTCCAGTCAAACACATTTTGCATATCTTCACTGTTATAGATTACACTGCTCAAACAAATACCATTACAAATACTACTTACATAAGTCTGTGTAGCTTGGCCAGATAACACAAAATTAAAGCCACTGGCCCTGGACTCCATAAAATTAACTTTGTCGCTTTAAGGGCAGTTTCATTAAGATGGACTACATGTACAATCATTAAATAAAACGTTGTTCTACTAAATGGAGGCCAAGGAGCTAAATGATAAACACAATGCTGTCAAATTTCTTGTGTCCAATATGATTTAAAGTACTCAAAGAAACTTGTGTAATGTGAAGTCTGATTTGATTGCATTCCATATGCCCTTGAGGAGAATCGCTGAATTTCATTGGGTCTTCGCCACGATAACAACAAGGACCGAATGACATAAAAGCCGCTCTGATTGGTCTGTTCCACCACCCTCTGGCCATAATTCGCCCGTTTCCCGGGCCTCGCCACCCCACTCACGGCAGAGCTCAGGCGCCTCGTCACTGTTGTCCAGGCAGTCGTTGTCGCCGTCGCACTTCCATCGCTCCTGGATGCAGCGGTTGTTCTTGCAGGCGAACTCCCCGGGCTGGCACTGAGGAGGTGGGATGTAGGAGGGGTTCCCTGTGGAGGCAGGAAGTGCAGGATCAGTAAGAATAGAATAGAATAGAATAGAATAGAATAGAATATTATTTTTTTCCTCAGGGGAAATTCAAGTTGCTTCAAGTTGCATAAAAGAAATTAAAAAAAACAATTTACATAAATGATATTAAGAAATAAAATTACTTTGATTCCAAAATTATATTACTATTATGACAAATGCTACAGAACACAAATGCACACATGAAATACAAAAAGCAGCAGACTTTCTAGAGTGAGGACTCACAGGGTGTGTATAGTAAAAGCACATGTACACACAAAAGAACTACAGAAAGATGAATCATTACTCCAGTCTATCTCAATCTGTGCCATTCAGATCTAATGCTAAAAGAACTACACAAAAAATTGCCATGGCTGAATCTTCGAAATCTGAAATTTCTATGAAATTCATTCATTTCCATTGAATTTCTGGAATCCCCCTAACTCATCCATGGAGGACACTGTTTCTTTACTGGACTGAACCAAAAGCAGGTGGAAGGGGATCCTGACCTTTGCAGTGGACTTCGTCTGCCTCCAGCATCTGGTCCTCTGCACAGGCACAGCGTCGGCCGCCGGGGATGGCCAGGCACAGACTGCTGCAGCCGCCATTATTCATGCGGCATGCGTTGGAGCCTGGAAAAGCATGCGCACACACAAACACACACATCCATCACATTACATTACAGGCATTTAGCAGACACTCTTCTCCAGAGTGACTTACAACGCAAAGTGCATTTTTTTCGGGACGAGGATGTTAAAGTGCTGGGGGGGGGGATGGGGGGGGGGGGGTGCCAGAAGCTGGTGTGGATTGCTGTTCCAATTTTCTTAGCATCTCTTCCTTCACTCCTCTCCTCCACTTGTTTCCTCCAAAACATCCAGGCAGGAGTGGTAGTGGGGGAGTGGAGGAAAGGAGGAGAGGGGCAAAACGCACCCCTTGATTGTGGGGGAACGATGGTCGGCACCTGATGTGGGGGTCGTACGTGATCACCCAGAGCCCCCAGGGTTTACCGAACTCCTACAATGAAGATGGAGCAAGGACTCAGCCGTCCCTGGGGGGCCTCAAACCACCAATCTATTGGTTAACAGCCAAATGCGTTGACCAGTTCCACCACAGAGACCATGTTACATGGTGCCACCTGCTCTGTTTTATTACTCCTCATTTTATCCTTGCACTCAAGGTCGTTTCCAAGGTCTCACTGTGGAGCCATTGCAGCCGCAAGAAACGCACATTTGCCCGGCTAGCTCAGTCGGTAGAGCATGAGACTCTTAATCTTAGGGTCGTGGGTTCGAGCCCCACGTTGGGCGACAAGCATTCCTCTAAGTGCAGCAGTGACAGATTGAACCGTGATGGCCAGTCATGCATATTGGTAGAGGCAGTGTTTTGCCGCACCTCTGAACAAGCACTGCGCTCTCCTCCTCCTCCTCTTCCTCTCAATAGAGTGGGGGAAACATCTCATCCTTTTTAATTATTCATTTATGTATTTTTTCCATACGGCAAAACAGTTAGTACTCAGGAGGGCGCTGTGGCTTAGTTGGTTAAAGCGCCTCTTCCCTGGGTTCCCAGCAGTGCCTGTGGTGTTCCTTTTTCTGCATAGCTGGTGCTTCACTTGGCCATTACATTACAGGCATTTTGCAGACGCTCTTGTCCAGAGAGACTTACAACACAAAGTGCATTGTTTCGGGACGAGGGTGCGAAAGTAATAGGCTAGAAATGTTACTTCACATTTTCCATCCTGGTAAGGATGGGGATTTAGCAGGTGTGGGGTGGGCGGAGACTGAGAAAGAGAAGGGGCTGGCAGTACCTTGCTGCTGCCGGGCGTCGTACATGCGGACCTCGAAAATGGGCGGCCTCTCGTTACGGAGCAGGGTCACGGTCTTGGTGATCTGGTCCAGCTTATAGATGCTGCCGCTTCGATACTCATTCCAGAACAGAAAGTGCTTGTAATGGCACAGGCCAAAGGCGTGGTTCAGTTCCTGGCCTTCGTATACAGTCTGTGGTACAGTGAGGGGAAAGAAAAAAACACACACACACACACACACACACACACACAGACATGTGCGCACACACACATAGTGGTTATTAAGTGATGTTTAGGAACTAGCATCAAGCTAAGAAAAAAAATGACTTAACAGTTCCTTAATACTGTGAGGTTTAAATGTATCAGATGTAAAAATAGGTATTAAAAATCATGGACAACAGGGTCCTGTGGTCAATCTGCAATCAGCCCCATTGTGAACCATTGCCTTCCTATAACAGCACAGCCTACCCGTCTGAAGGGGAGTTTTTGGGGTTTCAAAAGGATGGTTTGCATTGTATGTTCAGGCATTGATTTATTCTATTTTTCAACATTATTGGTTTTTCTCTAGTATAATTATTATTTCACCTTATGCCCCAAGATAATCAGCTATTTAACAGTGTTGATCCAAGCAAGACAGTTTATAGACACAGAAATAACCAAATGACTCATTTTGATGACTCAAATTGAGCAGGGGCCGGTTGTACCTTGCGCTCGGTGTTGTTGAGGTACACCATCTCGATGCGGTCGTAGTAGGCATCCACCCAGTACAGGATGCCCTGGGGGATGTCCAGGCTCAGGCCGTTAGGCCACAGGACGGTCTTGGAGGTGAGGAAGACATTTCGATTGGAGCCGTCCATCCAGGCGCGCTCGATCTTCCCACGCTTACTCTCGCTCGGGTCCTCCTCCCAGTCCGTCCAGTACATCCACCTGAGGGACACAAAGCTCCACTGAGTGGGGTCTGACACATACACACACACACACACACACACACACACACACACACACACACACACACAGAGGCAGGCAGACACATACATACCTGAAAGAAACAGAGCTCCAATGAGCATTGTGTGTTTGAGGGGACACATATGTCCCCTCAAACACACAATTACTAAATGACACCCAATTACTTATAATGCCTGTGTGTGTGTGTGTGTGTGTGTGTGTAGTATGTTATGTGTGTAGTGTTTTTATGCACATCTATGTGGTATGTAGTGTATGTGCACATGTGTGTATTTGTGTGTGTGTGTGTGTGTGTGTGTGTGTGTGTGTGTAGTATGTTATGTGTGTAGCGTTTAATGCACATCTATGTGGTATGTAGTGTATATGTGTGCGTGTGTATGTGTGTGTAAGCCTATTGCACAGAGGAACACTGGGAGAGGAAGTCTTGCTTTGAACAGATAGTGAATCTGTCACGTATCCTGACATTTCAGCCTGTTTTCACAGCTCCTTCACTCATCCTTAATTCATTCTCATCCACCAGTGACACCCAAGACAGCCTGGCCAAGCAGTGAGACAGACTGGTGCTCTGAAGTTGCAGGCACTGACATGAGAGAGGGAGGTTGGAGGTTGAGGTGGAGGTGGAGGTGGAGGTGGAGGAGGAGGCCCCTGAGATCCAGCTGCATTGTGGGTCACGTCACACGGAACGTCCCCTCTCCGAATCACAGCACTTTTGTGAGCCGAGCCTCTGGCTCATTAATCATTCCTCTCCTCTCTCGCTCTGAGATGCCCACACACACACACACTCACACACCGCCCCCTCAAACGCAGAGATCAGCTTTTCAGTTACAGCACAGTTCACTGGCCCGGGCCTGGCTGTGGCCTTCCTGAGGATGCTGGGTAATCGCTTTCTACCCCATATCAATCCTGCTGATCGATGGGCTCATCCAGGTACAGAAGGGATGAAAGGTGTGTGTGAATTTATTAATGAATGTGCATGTGTGTGCATGTGTGTGTATGTGTGAGAGAGTGCATGTATCTTTTCACGAGTACATGTGTGAGTGTACGTCAGCGTATGTGTGTACATGTGTGTCTGTGTGCGTGAGAGAGAGGGAGAGAGTATGTGCATGTATTTTTCTGTGTGCGTGTCAAAATGTTTTTGCACTGCAAATGAGTCCGTGTTGTAGATGACTCAAAAATGTCTGTAAGGTGAACATACACAAAAATATGTAGTTTTAAACATTTCATGCCTACAGGGCCAACATGATTGATGTTTTATCTGTACCAATGTTTTGGAGATGGAGACTTGGTAAGGCTGTGCGACGACTGGTGTGAGCGTGACGCAACCTATCTGAATTTAAGTGACAGCAATATGTGGGGGTGAAGGTAGGGGGTCTACATCGGGAACAGAGTGTCCTGGACCAGCATGCAAAAAAACTAGGCTTTGATGGTTGACGAGCACATCTAAAGAGGGTGAGAGAGTGACAGACAGAGAGAGAGCGCTGTGACAGAGTGTCACCGCTCTTCACAGCAGGAGTGCCCTGATTTAACATGATCCAGGCAGATGAACGAGGAACAGAGATCGCCCAGGGACTCTGTGGAGGGTAACGGGGGCGGATAGCTGGGTTTGACAGCCAATAAGCAAGTGCCAATTCCCCCCACCTCCTATCCCTCCCACAAGCCTGATAGCATTCCCCAGGGATCCACTTCCTATTATCTGACTGACATCTCCGAAATGAGCAATCCTGAATCTGACTCGACATGAAAAGAGACTTGATAAAATAGCTGCTGAATTCCTAAACCTCCCCACACTTAAGAGGGACACTCTGTCCTGAATCCCCCAGCCTTGCCTCTCCCAGCCTGTAGCAGCCCATTCCGCTCACCCATGCAGGGGGTCGACAACGATGGCGCGCGGGTGCGTCATTTTGCCCTCGATAAGGGTTTTTCGGGTCTGGGAGGCCTTCTCCAGCCTGGCCACGCTGATTGTCTTCTTAGGCCCATCGTCCGTCCAGTACAGGTTGTTGGCCATCCAGTCCACAGCAATACCCTCAACTGTATGGATCCCTGTATAGATTTCATAACAAGGAACTAGTTTAGTTGCCCTTCTCTGCACCTTTTCAAAACCTCCTCTATCTTTCTTGTAGTGTGACGGGAACACAATACGAGAACATTGTGTGTGTTTTTTTAACCACGGCTCACACCACCCACCCACCTTCCTTCAGGATGGTGTCCCTCTCCGTGCCGTCGATCTTCTGCCGGCCGATGAGGTAGCTGGTGGCGTCGGCGAAGTAGATGAACTCGGTCATGGCGTGGAAGTCCAGGGCGCGCGGGTTCATCAGGTTCTCGATGGGGATCATGTACTCGTCGGGCACCTTCCCGTTCATGTCCATGCCGCGGATCACGCCCGGCCGGCCCTTGCCATACACCAGGAAGAGCTCATGCTCAGGCTCTGCGGGAGAACCAGAGGAGGAGAAGAAACTCAGTACATCTTAACAAACAACAATCAGCCGGTTATACCGACCTCAGTCATAACAACAAACCCATATGGTCACATATGAAAGAATCTGATGTTAAGCATAAATAAAACAAAAGCAATTCTCTCAACAAGAGACTGTGTTCTTCAACACCTTATAGATAATCACCCAGTTGTCTATCAAAGCCCAGACATGCATTTTTAGCAATTTAAATGCATAAAGATTAGGCTCAATAATTGTTTGACTAGTGACGGCAGTATACTAGCATTTAACATATACAGCAGTATACATGTGCCACTACTGATGCTAGCCCTTTTTTAGTCACAAACTCAATGTAATGTGACTGAAGGCCTCAACCAGCATCCTAAATGTAAACATACAGGCAGACTGAAGTATAAAGAAGGAAATTCCCCCTTCAATTATCTTCCAAGTATTGCTCTGCTTCATGTTCCATTTCAGTCAACTTACACCCTCATCTTTAACAAGTCCAAAAAATCCAGTGTACAAAAAAATTTATCCCACCGCAAACTGAACTGTTCTCACATGTGACGACATAAAGCAAAACATGACAAAAACAGCATCTGATCTCTGAATCACTCAACCTTTTGTGACAGCACATAAGCACAATTTTGAAGGACTTAAGCAAAAAAATATTATATAAATACCACCCTCAAGGGTCTACATGTATAACAATATAACTTTCAACCTGGCCATCCAACAGAACATTTCTCTGCCATCTCGCATGCAGCTATTTAGGTGAAACAGTTCAATTCCATCAACACATGGTCAAATTATTTGTTTAAAGATCTGGTCATTCTGTTGTCTATCTGAATGAGTGAAAAGCCAGACAACACAATTTCTCAAAGCCCCGGTCTTTAATTAAATCCCTTGAAAGATTTTCCCCAC